AGGAAAAGCCTGCTCTTCTGTAGCTCTTCTCCCAGGGCTCGCAGGTGGCTCCCATCAGGACTCTTAACGCTCCAGCAGGGCCTGGGTGGCTCCTGTGAAGGCTGTGGTGGTTCTCCTGGTCCTGGCCACCAGATGACGCCCCAGAGCAGTCTGGATCCCAAGAGCCGGAAACGCTTTTGTTTGTAACAGCAAGCTGGCTCCAGCTGGGCCAATTTAGAACTGATCATAAATTAGCACAGCTGGTTCATCGGGTCAATGTGTGGCCTTCAAAGGAGGCCCCTTGCTGTGTCTTCTGTTTGAACTTCTGCTGTTTGTGTCTCGTCCTGCATTGCTCAGAAAGGAACTGTCTCAGGCTCCAATGCCAGTAGTTGGGGGAGTTCAGGAAAGGCCCAGGAGGGGCCTGGCCTTTTGAGTGCTCTATGGGGAGGTTGTTAGCCAAAACTTCCAGCTGGGGGGCCAGCTGGCCACCCCCTTCTTCTTCATCACAGGCATCATTTTCCAGGTGCAGAACAACACTGTTGCACTCCTCAAGAGCATCTCATGGACCTGTGCAGGAGCTCGGAAATGCCCAAATTGTAAGCGGATTTCTTCCTGCATTTCTCTGGATCCATCCTAAATAATTGTGCAAACAATTTTGTTGGTCACTGAAGGCAGAACACCTGCATGAGTCCTAAAAGTAAAGTGAAGGCAAAAGGCCAGAGCAGAGAAGTGCTTTATCCCATAGTCCTGTCTCTGTCTCGAAAATATGTGATGCTTGGAAGTATGGAGCTCTAGCAGCTGTTGCAGCCCTCCAGCTTTGGAAATATTATTCTTGGATTAAAGAATCCAAAGCAAAGTATTAAAGATGCAGGCTGAGAAACTTGAAACAAATCATTATCATGCAATGCAGGCTTTGAATACTAGATTGGTTCCTCCAAGGCAGCACAGAATACATCCTAGTGCAAATGTAGGGCATCCAGTAGAATTATGTAAGAGGGTTTTGTTGCTGGTGTTGCTTGTCTTGCTCTTCAATTGTAAAATATTCACAGCAGGCAAAATGGAAAGCACCTACTCATTAGCAATTTCAGAAAATGAAAGAGCCAGGAATTTCCTCTTGCATAAGAAAGGCCTGGAGGAGAGAAAGCAGGCGGGAAACCAGCATGAGAGAGCACTTATTATCCATCAATTCCTTCAGTTTCTAGCCAACCTTTATTCAATCCAGAAAGGACCAGCTGCAAAAACTATAATACAGTAGAAAAAGGTTAACTCCTCAAGAGCCATTGCTAGCCTCTATATATTTACCTTGGTTTTATAGTATCTAACCATCATAGTCATCTCCCATCTCCCACATGCAAAAAATTAAAACTTCTCCTTCCAACAGTACTAGGATTCCCACAATCCCCTGGAAGAGACAATGACACGAAGCTTCATCCAAGTCTCTAGTGTATCCCAAAAGACAAGCATAGTCCTGCGATGATGAATATGCATGATGCTGATAAGGGTAGGGGCCAATTCGATGTACCATGGTTGTCTTGCAAACGCACACACTCTGGATGAAAACACAACTCTGCAGGTTTCTAGCATGTTTCAGAAAAACCAAGTATGCTGAGTGACTATTGGCCAGCGCCCATGTCACCCCTCTCAGACCTTCTCCATCTTGGACATCAGGTATGCTAGGAGCTGGTATCCTGAGGTGTCTGCTTGGACTTGGGGCCTCATGACAAGATGAGCCCTACTTCTTTCCCTGTTGTTGCCCGCTGGTACATTTCCTCAAGCAAATAGATGAGCCAGCAACAACCCATGGTAGCAAGGATTTGCCATGGACTAGAGCTAGAAAGACCAAGCTGGTGAAAAGAAATAAGGGCCATGTTTTATTGAAGAGCCGATTTGTACTGGTGTTACTTTGGTAGATTGTTATTTTACTAGAATGTTACATCAACTGCTCTGAATGTTGTGACTGATTTGCAGGTCAGAATATTAATCAGTTATTTAATTAATAGGAGGTGTCTTGGTTGAGGCCTCTCCAAAACCTGAAGTCTGCACATTCTTGTGAATGTGTTGTGGTAGAGGAGGCTGGTAAAGCTAAAAGAAAAGCAAAAACAAATAAAGATTTGAAGATTAGAAAAGATAGAAGGAGAACAGACCTTCTGAAGTGCCAAATTAATTGAAGGAGGAGAAACAGGATTAATTAAAGGGTCACTTCTCAGATGAACTTCCCTAGTCAGCTTTACGTCAAATATGCTGTTTTGGGGGTATTTCTGACTTCCCCCCTTTTGCCCACCACTTTAGCCTTAGCTCACCACTGGAATGTGACGGCTAAAAGCTTCCCTGACTTTGAATTTATCCTCCAGCATGCAAAACCTCCCTATAGTCAGTTTAAGGCCTCTGTCTCTTGGAAAGGACATGATAGCAATTCCTTCTCCAAGCACACAAGGTGCACTTAGCATTTGCAGCTGATGTTTCAGACTCTGTAGGAATACAGATAGTAGGGCATGCATCCAAAAAATAGTGGATAGGTACTTGCAAAATACCTTCCTCAATATTATTTCATTGCAGCCATCAGGACTCTCTTGAATTTTAATGGGCAGCCTCACTGTCCATAAACATCACTTGGTTTTTTTCCACTGACATAGTCCTCCACTGATATATTCTCATGCACTGATAGACTGATCTTGTTTTAAAAAGAGGCCAAGGTCTAGAAAGGATGGTAGAACATGTGCAGTGTGCACCCCTTATTCTTCCATCAGGGTTTCTTGTTTGCTTATTGGATGTTGCTGCAGAAATCCCATGTGGGGGTCTTTAATGTTAGCATTAGTGTTCTACTCTTTGCAGCCTGGAATGCCAAGGTGGCGGCTTCATCCTCTACTAGAAATCACTCGTCAAGAAGGGATGTAAGGGACCTTCAGCACAAGAGGCTGTAAATTGAATTCGCATGCAGGTGAAGGGGTCCCAGTTCCAGCAGAAGGACTGCTTGGTGCAAGCCATGTTTTGGATCAGGACAACCTCCTGCAACCTGGTGCCCCCTGGACTTCAAATCAGCAGCCCCAGTTGGTGCTCACAAAGGTGGTCATTGTAGTTCAGGCTGGATTAGAACTTAAGTGGCCTGTCCTCTTTCTCTAATTATGAGCCCAGGAGGACAGACTCACCTGGGGGTGGCAGAGGTGGAGGCAGCATCAACAAAGCCTGCTGGCTTTGGGGAAAATGGTATGCAGAGCCCATGAAGTGTAGAGCGGAGAGTGTTGCACTGGGGACCTGGGACCTAACTCAGCCACAAGGCTCCTTGGGTGGCCTTGGGCTAGTCCTTGACTGAGTCTAGTCTACCTCACAAGGTTGCTGTTGTGGGATAAAATGGACCTGAAGAGGATTATGTAAGTCTTCTTGGGTTCCCTGCAAGAGGAAGAAGGCAGGATATCAATGCAATGCAATAATAATAGGGACTCCCTAAGCGCAAAAGGGATAAATTGAGGCATTTGATCACCAACCCACACCTTACATTTTCGGCTGCACACCACAGTTTTTTTTAAAGTATCCGCCACAGAAGATAACACATGAATGCAGCGAACACGCTGGTGTTTTATGCGATGCAGGAGCACTAATCAGAAATGCCAATACACCGCAACTTGGTTTTGCGGCAGCTGCAGCTTTAACGACAGCTTTGTTGATCATGAAAGGCCAGCATGTTGTTGATGTTTTTTCTTGTACTTTTACTTTCAGGAATTGGAAAAATGTATGTGGGATTACTCTGCCTCTTGTGCCACAGTCACTCACTGGTGACTGTAAAGTACATGCAACTTGGCTTGAATCTGTTTGCCTAGCACAGGCAAAAAAATGGCTTTGACGAGCTCTGTCTTCTAGCAATTTCCAAAGTGCCGTTTTGAACGTATGTACGAAGAAAAGCAGTACAGAAATATCTATATAAATATATATCTAAAACAGCAAGGGAGACTGTGTGTCTGTCCGTCCAGCAGCGCTAGCATACCAAGACCATGAAATATATGCTCCTGAAACTTGTCGTGCGTATGAATAGGACTTCAAGGGTGTGCACCTCAGGTTTACTTTATTTTAAAATACATTGATTAGTCAGAGCTCCTCTGGAATACTGTGTCCAGTTCTGGGCACCAAGTATTAAGCCAGATGCAGGAAAATTAGAAAGGGTCCAGCGGAGGGCAGCAGAAATGATTCAGGGTTTGGAAACACTGCCCTGTGAGGAGAGACTGGGGGAACTGGGCATGTTCAGCCTTGAGAAGAGAAGAATGGGTGGGGGCATGGTGTCCCTCTATAAGTACCTCAAAGGCTGTCACAAGGAGGAAGGTCAAGATCTCTTCTCACTGATACCAGAGTGCAGGTATCAAGTCAAGATGCAACAACCCAGATTCAGGCTAGATATCAGGAAAAGCTTCCACACAGTCTGAGCCATACAACAGTGGAACCAGTTTCCCAAAGAGGTGGTGGACTCTCTCACGCAGAAGGCGTTCAAGGTGAAACTGGACAGCCATCTCAGTGGGATGGTGTAACGTCCTACAACAGCAGGGGGTTGGACTCGGTGCCCTTGATGGCCACTTCCAACTCCACTATTCTATGATTCTATGAATTACTTTTATTTTTGAAAATGTTCTTATGTGGTTGAAAATGCCAGTAACATCTTCAGTCACTAGGTGGCAGTCTTCCCTAACCTCTGTGCCACTCAGCACAGGGTGAAGACAGGGGAGGTTAGTAGATGACTTCCCCCTCCCACTACTGTGAGGCAGCCCATCTCTCAGGGCCACTAGCAGGGCACACGGGAGCTGGCATGGGTTCAGCCGGACTGGGCAGGCAGAGTCTGCCCAGTTCTGATAGCTGTGTAAGTTTGCATGAAGGGTTCAGGGAGGATATTCCAACCCCTGTGAAGCCAGGTCTGGTTGCCAGCAGGAGGTTCTCTGCAGGGAACCTCCTGCATGGACTCACGGACCTCCACATTCCAGACCACGTGTGCATACGCTCCAGAATTACCTTCAGTTCTTACAGAATATTCAAACACGCAATGGAAACACAAATGCTTTTTAATATGCTGGTGCAGTATCAATTTAATCTGTTACATGGCCAAGATGGCCCCGGATCTGTTTCATGATTTTCTAAACACAATGCTGTGCTAGATACCAGTGTCCATGTTTTCATCCGCATTGCTTGCTGTATGTGCAGCACCACTGGTCTTAGCATCTTCATTCAGAGGAATACCTTCTTTCCTCTCATTTTCATTTGAGTCGGCCTCTTTTTTCCCAAAATGTTTCTTCACAAGCCAGAAAAACACTAAACTCAATGGGATGACTGGAGCTCTTAGGCCAAATATCAGACCAAAATACGATATTCTGTGGGAGAGAAGGCGTCTCAACAAAGGCAAGGAAAGGGGTTATTTCTCAATACTTCATCCCTGCTCTTTCTTTCTTTCTTTCTTTCTTTCTTTCTTTCTTTCTTTCTTTCTTTCTCGGGGGGAGCGGGGATGCTGAAAGTGACTTAGGACTTCTTCATATAAGGCATTTCTTACAAGCTTGTAATCATTCACTCATAGAAGTGTGCAGGGTTTTTTATGACATGGTCATTCTCTAGGGCAGTGATGGCGAACCTATGGCACGTGTGCCACAGTGGGCACGCAGAGCCCACTCTGTTGGCATGCGAGCCAAGTGGCCCCAGCATCGCCCCAGCAGCCGAGCATCAGAAAACAGCACACACAGGGGCCATGCACATGCCCGGAAAGGAGTACTGCTGCCAGGCAATGACGTCACGAGCCGTGACTCATTAGCCGCAACTCATCCAAGTTTCACATGGCTGGTCAGTGCACTGCCAAGGATATTTATATATTAGCTTGGACTGGCTGTTTTCAGGTTTTATTGTAGTGTTGGCACTTTGGGATAAATAAGTGGGTTTTCGGTTGCAGTTTGGGCACTTGGTCTCTAAAAGGTTCACCATCTCTGGGTTGGGGTTAGAAAAATGAGGTGTCCTGGCATGATTTTGATGGTTCGAATGTGTTCAGAATGGGTGGAAATGATGAGCTGTGCAGAAAAAGCTACTCAAGGAAGGCTTTTTCAAAACTGACCTCTTTTTAATGGAACTTTCGCCCTATATTAGGGCTAGGGTAGTGCACCAGGGTAGGGTTAGGGCGGTGGTGGTGAACCCATGGCACACGTGCCACAGCGGGCACACAGAGCCCTCTCTGTCAGCACATGAGCCAAGTTGCCCCAGCATCACCCCAGCAACTGTACATCAGATAACAGTGCGCATAGGGGCCATGCGCATGCTCAGAAAGGAGTACTGGCACCAGGCGATGATGTCACGAGCTGCAACTCATTAGCTGCAACTCATCTGAGCTTTCGCATGGCCAGTCAGTGCACTACAAAGGATATATATGTATTTGCTTGGACTGGCTGTGAGGTGTTTTTTCTAAACTAAAACCTCAGTTTTCGGGTTTTATTGCAGTGTTGGCACTTCGTGATAAATAAGTGGGTTTTGGGTTGCAGTTTCGGCACTCGGTCTCTAAAAGGTTCCCCATCACTGCTCTAGGGTCTCTCCCAGGTTTTCCAGCCATTTCAGTCACTTGGTTAAGAGTGAGAAAGTGAGCTTCGATGCTGGTTGCCGCCAAGTATTCACTATAGAGGCCTAGCATCAATTCTCCGGTCCACTCTGAACCAGACTGTTGTCTTCTATTGCTTTATGGAAGAGGTAGAAAGGCAGAGAACTCCCTGCTGAGGGACAAAAAACCCCGAGAGTGAAGGACAGCCTAAAGTTCCTCTAAGGAAATGGAAGAAGCAGCCTTGATAAAGTCCTGGCTCCAGGGCCTCATGTCGGAGAAGCCCTAGTAGCATAAATCGCAGGCAGTGCCAGGGCGATGATGTTGAGGACTGGCAATAGATGCCATCAGAGGAGGAAGAGGAGGAGGGAGGGGAAGATGGGTGGCGGCAGCTGGTGATACTGTTGCTGAGCAGGTAAACTCATTGAGGAAGGGGGTCTGTGGAGAGTGTCTTGCTCAGAAACCGGCATTGATTGCAAAGGAGCCTTCAAAACAAGGAAGCAATATAGAACGGCTGAGATGAAACAGAGAGCCACAATCAGCAAATCAGCCCCAAGCCACTTCTCATCCATGGCTAAACATGCCAAAACTGTGTTGGAATCAATGCCTTTTAACTAGAGGTGAACCCAAATGCCCTCCCCAAGCATGGAAGTTTTCACACTCATTTTGCAGCCATTCAAAGGCAGAAAAAGCAGGGAGAATTTGGTCAGTTGTTAGCACACTGCTGAGAGGCGCGACCTTCAACTTTAATAAATAAATAAATGAATTCGTTATCAGACTGATAAGGGCGAGTCATTGTGCTTTTTCCCCAGCAGCAGCAGCACCTTAAAAAATAAATAAAAAATAAGCCACCAAAGGCTCCAGCAACAATTTTCCAGGCCACCTTCCTCTTTCCCTACAAAGCCTCAGATGCAGGAATGCTCCTGAGCTTGGAACTGAGGCATGGATGAGAAATGAACAGGTGGATGATTGTTTTCAGTGGGATAATCAAATCACACACCATTCACTCTTTTGTACTAGGCTTTTCCATAACACACACCAGCTTCAAAACTGCAAACCTCACTGGCATGCCCCCAACGATGAAAAAGAGTCATTGCCGATCAAAGTTTGCCTGCAGCTAACCAAGTTAAGCCAGTTAAAGCTGCAGTTGTTTCAACTGGTAATTAAAGCTGTTGCAATGGGCTTTTATTGGAGAGACAGACAGGTCAAAATTAATGTATATGCCCACTTCTCCACCAACTCTGTCATTCAGGAGCAGATTTCAGCTGAGCACAGCCAGAGCATTAAGTTAATTGGGAAACAACCCTGGAGAGGATGATTACAGAAGCCTTGGAGGATTTCTATCAGCTCACCTGTAAACATTAGAATCGTATATCCGGCAAGCTCCGCGCCTGCCACAGCTTGTCCTGGACCACACCAAGCAGGCCCGGTCTATTACTGCACCGAAATAAACTGGGGCTGGAATTCCAGCTGGAAGACATTGACAGTAAAATATTCCAGGTTGACATCCACCTATCTGTAGACAATCCTTCTGGTTGTGACTACAAGGAAGCAGGATGTTTGGGCAAGTGTGTGTGCCGGCATGTGCACATAAACATTGGAAGTCCAGATTGCCAATCTGTTGAGCACTTCGTTGTAAAAACGTGCAAACTGACCTCCTACATTGCAAGAATCTAGTGAGCAGCCAGAAACCTTTGGCAAGAAGCACAGCCAGGGTGGTTGTGTGGTTAAGAGCATGGGACTGGGACTCAGAGGATCTGGGTTCTAGTCCCCACTCAGCCATGGAGCCAACTGGGTGACTTTGGGCCAGTCACAGACTCACGGCCCAACCTACCTCACAGGGTTGTTGTTGTGGGGATAAGAGGGAGAGCAGGAGGAAGAGAATGATGGAGTCCCCCTTGAGTTCCTTTAAAAAGGAAACAGTGGGATATAAATCTAAAGGCTGCACCCCAGTTATAGATCCCCAGTGATAGACTACTTCTAAATGTGGAGGCTACTTTCTTTTCACTATCATAAAAGTCCGGCATCATGTGCATGGAAGTCAAACATCTGCCTTCTCTGATTCCTCACCCCCAATACTTGGGGGTACAAGTCTCAGCATTCTTGACCATTGGCCATGCTGACTGGGGCTGATGGGAGTTATAATCCCAAACATCCTGAGGTTTCAGTCCTCCGTATCAGAGAAAGCCTCTTGTAAATGGCAGTGGAGCGGGACACAAAGGTGGGATTTCTTAGAATTTCGAAGGGGAAAGGTTTCCCTTACCAAGTTATGTGCCTGAGGACAGGGATATATCAGAATTTTGTTTGCTGGTGAAAAATCAACAGATTTTCTGGTTTGGTCCAGTGGATTTAGTACCATTTCCCCCACCCCATCCTAGCTCATGTTAGCACTGACTTACTTTGTAGCAAGGCAAGCCAAGAAATGGATTCTGTCTTTCTTTGTCTTAATGGTAATGATTCCTTGCCGAGGAAGGCTTGACATGTGCGGAAAGGTTTCACAGTATTTAATTTTTTTTGGTGGTCTCCCAAAAATGCATGCAATCGCAGGACTGCCAAGTAGCCCTGCAAAAGCTTATTTCCTCCTTGTAAACATCCTGGTCAATTTCAAACCAACAAGGATATTTACAAGAGGAGATTCTGCCTAGAACAAGGCTGCACGGCACAGAGGCAGAGCTGTGCTCCCCTGGAACATCTCTAAAAAAGCAATACTTTATGGCACGCTTTGCATAAATTTCAGGAGCCACTCCTGAAAAATATTTTGTGCACATCACTGTCCATGCAAATGGCAGAACTGAAAAACAGGCATGCATTTTCCCCAGATTTGTAAAAATCTTTAATTTTTTAAAAATTTGTAAAAAATTGTAAAAAAAAAATGTAGAGGATTTGTAAAAATCCTCTACAACTCTGCCACTGCTTTACCGAAAAGGAAGCACTATGGAATTCCACTGGGCTTAAATGGGATGGAATTTGCAATATTGTACATCGCTCCTTGGGAACAATGTCCAATGGAGATGGGTAAATCTGTCAGGCTTTTCATTTTTCAGTTGCTTCCATTTCATTTTTCAGTCGCTTCCCTATAACCTGAAGTGCCTAAGAGCCTCCCTAATCTTGAAAGCTAAGGAAAGTTGGACCTGGATGAAACCTGGAAGGGTGACTTAAATGTTGTGAACTGCCCAGAGAGCTTGGGCTTTTAAGTGTGCGCTTTTGCAAGCATATGCATTCTAAAAGCAATTCCCCAATGAATAAAGCATTTTTGTGCACTTCTTTTAAAATGGCTTAGAAAAAAGGTAAGTAAAGGGAGGCAAGAAAGGGTTTTGTTTTTTTTTAAGTGATGTGTGGTGTGGAAACAGTGGAGGAGGAGACATTTTCTCCCTCTCCCATAACGCTTGATCCCAAAGGGGTCACCCCATGAGGCTGGTGAGTGGGAGCTTTAGGACAGACAAAGGGAAGGGCTTGGTCACACGGCATACAGGTAAACGGTGGAATTCGCTGCCATGGGAAGCGGTGGTGGCTGTACGAGGCGCCTGGACAGATGCCTGAGAGAGCAGGCTCTTGGGGCTACTAGCCTCGCTTGGCTGTGGGCTGCCTCCTTCACCAGAGGCGGCTCGCCTGCACGCGCCCGTTGCTGAGGGGCTGGGCAGGGGGAGGTCTGGCACCGTCCCGCTGGAGGGATCCTGTGGGCAGCTGGGTTGCCGCCGTGTGTCCGGAGTGCCGGGCTAGATGGGCCCGGGGTCTCATGGCCCGTCTGGTGCACTTATGCCAGGCGTACAGAATTTGCTGCTCCCGCCCTGCCCCGGGTTGCACGTGAGGGAGCCAGCCCTCGTTGCAAGTGCGCACGCGTGTTTGTTGCCTGAAGCACAAGGGAGGCACGTCCTGGGCTTGGCCGAACAGGGCGCAGAGGGCCGGTCGCTGCAAGGAAGCTGCAGCCAGACACTCCACATTGACTATGCCACCTTGTTTTGTGCAATGGGACATATAGGAACAGACAGAACACATTCAGGAGGGAGGAGGCTCTCTGTGGCTACCAGCCTTGCTGGCCATGTGCTCCCTCCTTCACCAGAGGCGGAATGCCTGCACGCACCCGTTGCTGAGGGGCTGGGCAGGGGGAGGTCTGGCACCATCCTGCTGGAGGGATCCTGTGGGCAGCTGGGTGGCCACTGCATGTCCAGAGTGCTGGACTAGTTGGACCATTGATCTGATCCAGCATGGCTGTTCTTATGTTCCCATGTTCTTATGGCATTTTGTGTGCGATTTATCGAAAGCTCTACAGTTGTGTGCTCTTGTGGGGAAGAGCACTCTGGAGATGGACCAGGAAGCTGCGTTCTGGTTCATGTTGAGGTCTGGGAAGGAGTGCCTTGGTCAGCTTGCATTAAAACACGATGCCAGCAGCTGCATCTGAGCTTTTCAGGGGCATCTGGCTGACCACAACGGGTAGTAGGAGGGACGGCTGCTCCATTTGGAGACTTCAGTCAGGCCTTCATTGTCATTCAGCAAGACAAGTCTTATCTTGCTTATCCATGAGGCCATCCCTGCCACTTTGCCAATGACTATCCAGCCACGTTCTGAACCAACGTCTAGAGACTTCGGAAGAAAGGGTTTCGTACCCTTTCTTCCGAAGTCCTTCCGAAGTCGAACTCATTCTTCCGAAGACATCCAGAGGAATCAAAAGACAGTTTCTTACCCAAAGATCTTATAATAAGCATCTGGAAACCCATTGCAAGTGCCTTCAGTTCCGGAAGCACACATCTGAAAGATGAATTAATAACCATGGTGGTTAATGTGCTCTTATACATTCCTGCAAGTTTCTGTGAATCAGCTCAGATACCTGGTGAAGGGGTCCTTGTCTCTAGCCTATCCCTTCCTGTTATCTTTAGTTAAAAAGATCATATAGTTAAATGGCCAACTGGTAGGCAAGGTGAAGAAATTATGCTTGCAAAGCCACAACCAATCAAAAGTTATAATACTGGGTGAGATCTCTCAGTTTAAGAATCGTGCAAGAACTGTGCACTTCCCAGTTGTGCTGGCATGTAATGGAAAGCTGGAGAAGTGTGACAAAAGCAACTTGGGAACTGGGCATAATATTTCTCCTATATTGGTCCTCCTGAAAAGCCTCTTAGAAACTGAGCCCTTGGTCCCTAGACGTTATGGTGTGGGAAGGGCACAGGAACTGTCAGATTCCCAGATCTGGGCGTGGAAAGAGAGCTCTGATCCTGGAGTCTATGTTCCAACCCTCTTTCTCCCTGGTAGCAAGCACAGAAAGAACAGTAGCTGCTGCCTCTCCCGGGCTAGGAACCCAAGCTCCTCCCCTCCCTGACCCCCAGAGGGTTCCCTTGACCCCCTCTCTGAGGTCAGGAGCTCAACTTTGGGGAAGGGATAAGGGGACAAGGAAGGGAGGAGACAGAAGCCACCGTGCAATGGATTCCATGTGTCCTGCAGCCTCATTTCCTCATCCTCCGAGGATGATGGCCACAGCTGAACATCTTGCAGAAATGCAGAGCAGGATGGGTAGGTTAGGGGGCTTCTGAGCATCAAGGGTACAGCCTGTAGGACTGCATCCTTATTGTTCTTGGAATGGCTAAGGGCAAGGGCAGAAGTGGGATCAGAACTATGATGCAGCCACCATGAAGGCCCGTGAGACCGTGGCAAAGCTGAGCATTGCAGAGCAGTCTTTTCTAAAGCCTTCTAGAACTCTGGGCTGTGCTGCTTGATTACACCAACTCTAATCCTTGCAAGTTCCTCTAGGCCTGACCTCTGGGTGAACCATGCCTCCCTTTCCAGTCACATCACGTGGAGAGCTGTTGCAAGGTTTCAGATCCTGACACCCCTCTAGATTGTCATGGATTTGTGGACCCTACCGACATCCACCCACTTAGCTTTTCTCCATACTCAGATGGGGACAGAGTTCCATGACTTTCTCAGAAGAGGGGAAAGAGCTTGGTCAGCCCAAAGAAGCAGGCACTCCACCCAGAACTGCCCACATCCCATAACTCACATCTCAAGAGGCTTCATGGGCCAGTTTGAGGAGCATGCTAGGCCAGATGCTGCCTACAGCCTAGTGCAAATTCATGTAAGGAGAAATCCAGGTAGAAATGATGCCTTGACCAGGACACCTTTGTCCAAAAATAACTATTGGATAATTGGACTGGGAGTCATACTGTGGTTGATGGGTGTTGAACCCTTTACTGTTGCCTGCCTATGACATACACTAAAATAAACATCTTTCTACATATCAGGGCCTTCCTGTTTGTCTGGATAGCATGGGAACATTCAGGGAATGTTTGAATTCCCAAAGCTACTGGCTGGGAGACACTTATATGCCTAAAATATTTTGTCTATACACCTACAAATTTAAAGGGTGAATATGATCAATTCATTCTGGACATGTACCTGGCAGGGAGCCAAGCTTGTGTCTTGACTGCTTTCCCAAATTGTGCAAGTGTGAAGCAGTGGGTAAGCCCATTGTTTCTTTTTGCCTTGCGTACACACATGATGTAACTTAAACATGTACCTAACAATCTTCATCGAGTGAATGGATTCTTGGAGCAAGTATGAGTTTGCCTTGATGCAATGTTCCAAAATTCCAACATGATGGTTTCTGTGGGATGTATGGAATGCAGTGCATCCAGATCAGCTGGTAAGTCCCTCAAAACATCGGAGAGAGGTTGATCTCAGAATGTTTGGCTTGCTCTCTCTAACAGTGAACTGAGGTGGTTAGTAGGGATCCATGAGGAATCCATTTGGGGGTGGGAACTCATCAGATTTTTGAGTCTTAGTGGGGCACTTCCAGGAATAAAGTCCCAGTGCACCTGACCTAGAAGAAGGCAGCTGGTTGCACAGCCCTTCATTCTGCAAGCATTCGTGGACTTCCTCTTGGCAAGACCAGGCCAAGCATGAAAGCAAGTCAGTGAGATGCTAGAAGCTCCCATTCTGCTATGCTCTGTCCCAGTCGTAGTGCTTAGCACTAGGGATGCGAAGATCCAACCAAGATCCGGCTCTCTTGCACTTGCTGAATTTAATTCCTGTTCTTGGCCCTAGCCAGGAAGTGAGCCTAGCCCAAGTTCAGGTGCAAAAATGCACAGGAATTCTGGTGGCTTCTTTGCACCAAGTATGCAAAGCCCCAAAGAGGTGTGTTCAGCTTGCACACTGGGCACACGGACTTGCTTTGTGCCAGAAATCCACAGGGGTGCTTGGCAAGAGATGGGCTTGGAGCAAAGCGAGAGCAGGGCAGAGTCCGAGATGCCAAGCCAAGGACATCAGATGGATTCCCACCCCTTCACCGGATTCTTCACACAGGGCTTGTTACTACTAATAGAATCCTGACCACAAAGGGGGCCTAAAACAGAAGAGGGAGCCATCAACTCTACTGGGGAGGGAGAGGTTTTCTGCAGAAGGAAAAGATCCTGTGAGGGCACCCCACCACACACTGCCCCATAAACAGAGGATGTTCGGTACTGGCTGGAAAATAAAAAACAGAAAATGGGTAGGGAGAGATGCCCAGTTGGAGGGAAGGGCTACCTGCAACCTTAAACAAGAAAGAGGACAGAGGATGTAATCCCACAGTTCATTGCATGCCCTATTTATTTATTTTTATTTTTTAAAACATTTTTGTGCCGCCCCATTCGCCGAAGCCTCGGGGCGCCTTAGGTATTTGCTACTTACCTAATCAAAATCATGAAAGAAGGAACCGCTGCCAATGAAAGGAACAGATAACCTACAACTTTAATCATTATGAAATAAATAAACAGCTTGGAGCAGTTGTCACTCCTCTGACATTCTCCCAAAACTGCTGAAGAATTTCCCATCATGGAGCCAGCCTGTTCAATGCAGCTACAATTGTGGAAAACCTGGAAGATAAACACATGGATGCATAGCAGCCCAGTTCACCCACCTGCCCTTGCTCAGCGGTGGCGTGACCGTCTTCCTAAGGGTTTCAGTGCAGATTGACTACTGCCGTAATCCAACACTTGAGCTAAGGAGTGGAGGGCCACCAAGTGAGCTCTTGGAGGGAAAGCAAAAGCAGATGCTGATGGCTGCAAAGCCAGCACTGGATAAATCCACGGTGTATATTACGGGAGCGTAATTTCTAGGGCTTGCAGGAGCTGGCTTCTACAAGTGCCAGCCAAATCCCAGTGCTCCAATTGGGATATGAATGCCAGGGGAAGGAGAAGCTCAGCTTGGCCAGCGCTTGCAGAACTGTGGAAGGCGTAAGGGGGTACTGTATTTCCAGACAGTGTAGGCAGGCGAAAAAAAGGTTTCTTTTTGAGGGGAATGAATGCCAGCCAAAGAAGGTAGGCTGGCACTGTTCCTTATGAGCACTGAAATCTGTGCCAGGGCATCCCTAGTGCTTTGTAATGAAAAGCCCAAGCTAGATCCCCCTGCTTCAAAGCCCTAGGCTGAAAACACTAGCGATAAACAAGTAAAAAGTGCTGTACATAGTGCAAAGTCATACTGGGAAGATGGTATGTATATCAGGGACCACAATATCTGAGGGAATGTCTCTCCTGAGTTCAATCTACCCAGACCCTACAATTTGCATCTTCCTTTAATTGCCAGTTCCGGGGAAGGGGACATGGCTAGAAAGAGGCAACAAGAAGCAGGGCCTTCTCAGTGGTGGCCCCCTCAGTTATTTATTTATTTATTAAGAACTCCCCAAAGAGGTCTGCCTGGCACCGTCGTTACTGGTTTTTCGGCGCCAAGTAAAGACCTTTTTATTTAAACATCATTTTAATTGTTAAAACATATGATCTGGCCAGGGCAACTTCTTCCTTCTCTTTTCTCCTCCTATATTTTTATTTACTTATTTTACACTGATAATTTTAATTTTATATTTGTAACTCAGTGTATTTTTTGTATTTTTGTATTTAATGGTAATTTATTATGCTCTATTGTATTTCAATGTATTTTATTGTGTTGTAAGCCGCCCCGAGGTTTCGGCAAGGGGCGGCATAGAAATGTAATAATAATAATAATAATAATAATAATAATAATAATAATAATAATAATTTTTGTATGCCATCCCATTCATATGAGCCTCGGGACGGCTTATAACCAATAAATAAAACACAATATAAATAGTGTACATAAAATCCAGATTCACCCTGACTGCAAATTAAAAACCTATAGATAATATTAAAGATTATTAAAATATTGTTTAAATAAAAAGGTCTTAGCCTGGTGCCGAAAAACAAATAACAACAGTGCCAGGTGGACCTCTCTGGGGAGCACATTCCATAGATGGGGCACCACCGCAGAGAAAGCCCTCCTCTGGGTTCTTTGCCTCCTGATATCTTTCACAGAGGGTTCCCGGAGGAGGGCCTCTGCTGCCGATCTCACTTTATATGCAATGCTTTATATGTGACTATAGGCACATGCAAGGGCTCAATTACATCCTTCTGTACTCAAGCGGTTTCAAGCTTTAATTCACTGTCCTGGACTCCAGGGTATAACATGGCGCCATACAAACTCTTCTACAGGGAGGGTGCCCAGAAGGGGTTTTGTCAACCGCCTGGATTGCTCTATATTCCAGAGGGCAACTAGGAATTCAACCAAGCTGCCAGTCGTATCAGTCAGAAAATCCCTAAAGGTGCTCTAGAAATTGTCTGGGTACATTAGGAAGAGGATATAAACAGTTAATAGATATTAATATTAGTGTATTAGCTAATAGATTAATAAGTCTTCCACACTTGCTGAGGGGAGAGGTCACAATTAGTGTAAATTTCAACAGGCAGCAATCCAATCCTGACAAAGAGACCAATTCAAAGTCCTCCTCCTTGAACATTTATTTATTTAATTAATTATTTGAAATTTTTGTATACCATCCCTTATGCATGGCATCTCAGGACGGCTTACAATCATTAAAACAACCACAATAAAACAGCAATTAATAACAAGTAACCAAAAATGTAAATTAAATAAGTCATTTAATTTAAATAAGTTAAATAAATGTTAAACATTAAAATTTAAATTAGTTTTTAAAATAATAGTTAAAAAAACAGTTTTAACCTGGCGCGAAAAAGAGTATAAACTCAGCGCCAGGCCCACCTCTGGCTGGAAACAGCTCCTTTCGGTGATTTTTCCCTTCCTTCCCAGCTCCAGATAAGCCAATGAAATAGTTAGCCTTCATCCTTGCAAGAAAATAATTAAAATGAATCCATCTTACTGTTTCTTTCCCGGATCCTCTTATGTCTTTGCAGCCAGCAAAACATGCTGACATGTAGGTGATCCCGTTTGCTCCACAGACAGGGTCCCACTGGCTTACCGAACAGCTACAGTCGGAGTTGCAGGCCGAATAGAAAGGAACGGCCTTCGGTGCGATGAGTTGCCTTTCGAAATGAACACAAGGGTGTGTGGTTTACATCTAGAACTCACGTGGACGTATTTCTTTGAATGGCGGTTGTGACCCATCTTCCCCAGTATCTGGGTTCCTTCTGCTCATCAGCTGCTCATGCTCATCCACCACTTAGGAAGGCAGCCGAGCTGAGAGGAAGAGCACAGATGCTCGCTGTACAACCAACAACTGTCTTCCGCAGCACATGCAAAAGCCACAAGTCATGTGTGTGGAAGAGGAATGCTGCTTCTGCACCCTTCGTTGTTGTTGTTGTTCACTCGCACTCATGTCCGACGCTTTGTGACCCAATGGACAAAATTCCTCTAGGTTCTCTTGTCCTCCACCATCCCCTGGAGTCCACCCAACCCCACATCTACCTCTCCAGCCACCCCATCCAGCCACCGCAATCTCTGCCGTCCCCTTCTCCTTTCGCCTTCAATTGTTCCCAGCATCAGGGTCTTTTCCAGTGAGTCCTTCCTTCTCATTAGGTGCCCAAAGTATTTGAGCTTCAGCTTTAGTGCCTGACCTTTTAAAGAGGAGTCAGGGTTGGTTTCCTTTAGGATCGACTGATCTGAACTCTTTGCAGTCCAAGGGACTCGCAGGAGTCTCCTCCAGCACCACAATTCAAAAGCATCAATTCTTTGGTGCTCAGCCTTCCTTATGGACCAGCTCTCATAGCCATGCATCACAATTCCTGGCAGGCTCTTGTACCAAATGCTCTGCACTCATTGCACCAAGTTGGACTCATGGCTGTGAGAAAGCAGGCTGAAGTCCAGGGACTGGGCCCAGGGAATTTGATGGATTCCCACCCCGCAACACAGATTCCTCACACATCCATAATTTGGGCCATTGGTGGCCCATTTTCTGCCTCAATAGGAAGCACTCAAGGTGGTTTAGGACAAGATTTTACAAAATCAGCAGAACACAGCCAGTTTAAGAGCAAGACCTTGAGCAAAGCTCAACTTGGGGCATGATGCCCTTTTCCACTCCTTCCTGCCTGTGGGGATCCCATGCCAGGCTGAGTGAAGAGGGGCAACCCAGGACCTGAAGGCGAGAGCGTGGCCACCGCCTGGAGCAGCCTAGCTTGTCCAGTAGTTCTTGAATGTGGAAGGATGGGCTGACAAGCCCATCCTGAAACACCATCCATTACACTGCAGTGTCAGCAAATATATTGCCCACACCTTTTGCTTCCAAGTTGGAAGTGGGCTCCCCAGCTGCTGTCCTGTGATGGACTCTACCAATGGCAGCTTGCAGCCCAGCAAGGGACCTGTCTTGTCCCTTCAGAAGGAGCGCATGCATGCACAGACCCCTTGGACATTACCCTGCAAGGCCAGTGCGCTTTTTTCCCCCCATTGGTGCAATGAGAAGGCAGCACTTTGTGAAAGAACCCTGGAAAGAAGCTGAGATGCTCCCAATCGACCAGGAAAGGGCAACAGAGCATCCTTCTCCCAGTTCTACTGACCTGCCTTGTTCTAGGGAGAAGCGTGTCCACTCCTTGTATTTATCCATTCATAGTACTTTTGCTGCTGCTCAGTGCCCTACCCACAACACTTAAAACGTGCTCCTTAAACATTGTAAGCAACTTACAACCAGAGACATAGCGAAGGGCAGAATATAAAACACGCACGCACACACGCACGCACACTTATGATCCATCCGTAAAAGAGAGTCCCTGCAGAATAAAGGAAAAAGACACAACATGCAAAGAAAAGGCGACAGAGAGGGGGGAAACAGGTTTTCAGCACAGCTGGTAGGGTGACCCCTCTTCACCTTTTTATCTCCTGGTGGAGCAATCCAACTGGAGCAGGCGCTGGTGCTCATTGGCCTGGCCCTTGTCTCCCCTCCTGTCCACAGGCAATTTATATCCACCAGGAGTGCCTGGGCACTCCTGTCTCACTAGTTTTGCACCACTGCCACCCACTCGCTCTTCATGGACAGCACAGGATGCCACCCCTTATCTGCCCTCTACACGCCCATGCCTACACATGACGTACCCATCATAGGACGCTGTCAGTCCAGCCACGGTGCGGTTGTCACAACCCACCAAAAAATTGAGAATTGAAATGAGGTATCCAAGTAATGACAAAATGAGTGACATCTTTGTAGCAGCGACGATGCCTAGCTTGTACTTTTTCATGATGAGCCCTCCTGCAAACATGCCTATGCTGACAGCCGGCAAAGCTGCGACTGCTGAAATACAAGACAGGGAAAGAAGAAGGGCTGATTCATTTCATTGCAGCCAGAAGGAACAGACGTGAATGGAGGGTGACTGGGTCGGCAGGACAGGCAGAATACACTGGAAATCTTAGAAGGGAGACTTGACCATCCAGTAGGTCTGGTGGCCTTCTGATTTCATGGCTTAGAGAAGAGGATCAGACGGTGTGTCTGAAGGAGAGAGGGCTTGCAGGCCATGTAGCAGCAGGCCTTGCTCAGTGAAGCAACCCCACCAACAGATGGCGCTCACTCTCCCTCTGCTGGAAAACCCCCTACAGGGAAAGCCCACCATCCCACAAGGTAATTGGCTCCATTGCCAAACTGCTCTTACGGTCGGTGTTTCTTCTAAAATTCAGCTAAAATCTACTGTCCTGTAAAATCAGCCCAGGGCAGGTTTCTTCAGGTCTTTAGAGAGGGTTATCATGCCCCTTCTCAGCCTTCTCTCCTCTAGGTTTCTTCAACCATTTCTCATGGGCCTTGTTTTCCTTATTCTTCCCATCCTGTTGGAATCTATTCCCTTCTTAAAGTGTTGGGCTCATATTCTTGATATGCCTGTTTGATGAGCCAGCACAGCAACCCTGTTTGATGTATCTATGTACTTTCTCAAATATTCATTAATATTTTATTAATAAATAAATTCATTAATATTTTATTACAATGTGGGTTCAACCATTGGTATTTTGTTTGTGTCTTCCTTTCAATTCTTCCTCCCTCCTTGCCCTGCCCTGCCCTGTTTTGAGCATATAATTGCAAAGCACCTCAAGAGGTCACTCCAAGTCTGGTTGAAAGATAAAGAACCTTCTGCAGGAAGATGTGGACCTTGAAGCTGTCCACCAACAGCTCCAGGGTAGCTGAATGAGGAAGGCATGCAGATCCCCCGTCTTCTGCACTAGGCTGAGAGGCACTGTATTTCTCAATTTATTTAATTGTTTAAAAATTTTCTAGAATGTCTGTATTTTCAAAGAAAAATTCTAGATGGTTTTCAATAACAAAAAACATCAAGACAATTTACAGTACTTGATTAAACTAGAATTAAACAGATATGTATTCAAATTAACAATGAAAATACTGGTTAAATACAAAGGTCTTGGTCTGGTGCCAGAAAGAATAGGATTTGGCACCAGACAAACCTCTCTGGGAAGCATATTCCACAGCTGAGGCACCACCACTGAGAAGGCCCTTATCTGTGTAATGGCCCCCCTCACCCACTTCAAGGAAGGCTCCCAGAGAACGACCTCCATACAAGATCTTAAGGACCAGGCAGGTGTATATGGAAGGAGCCATTCCTTGATATAGCCAAGCCCTCAAACATTTAGGGCTTTATATGCCATTGTCAACACCTTAAATCAGGCCCAGACTTCAATCAGTAGCCAGTGCAGATGGTGCAGGATTGGTGTTATATGGTTCCCACCTGCTGGTCCCTGTCAGTAGCGTGGCTGCTCTGCTTTGAACTATCTGGATCATCTTTCAGGATAGCCCCACATAGAGTGCATTTGCTGCAGTTCAGTCGCAAAGTCGTGCCCGACTCTTTGTGACCCCACGGACAACATTCCTCCAGGCTCTCCTGTCCTCCACCCTCCCCTGGAGTCCATCCAAGCCCAGACCCACCTCTCCAGTGACCCATCCAGCCACCTCCACCTCTGCCACCCCCTTCTCCTTTTGCCTTCGATCGTTCGCAGCATCAGGGTCTTCTCCAGGGAGTCCTCAATAGTCCAAATGGGAGGTTACTAGTGTGTGGTCGCTCTTCCCAGACTCTGTCCACCATCGTCCTCATTCTTCCCAGATTTGCATCAGTATTACGCAGACCACTGTCCTCTTTCATCTCTTTTTGGAAGATACCTTTCCTCTTTCTGTAAGTGGCCACCTTACTAGTGTGAAAAGTCCTTGTAAGAGGAGGAGGAAGAAGGAGAGAAAGAGGGGACAGATCTCACCTATTATAAAGTTAGACCTTGATGCAGCCTGACCATATTGCTGCTCCATATATTTTGGGTTATATGTCAAGTAACCAATGAAGCTCTTCGCCTGCAGCAACATCATACACAGCATTATAAGGTACATGCGGTTGCTCAATAATTTCTTCAGTGATTTAAAAAAATCTGAAAGGAAGAGAGGCTTGGTGGTCAGTGCGGAGCAAACTTACGCAGCTCATCAATGCTTCGCTTTGACACAAATGGAAATATGAGGGCTGGGAGACCCACATGGGAGACCCACCACGGAATCAGCCGCTAGTTTGGCCTGCTCTGGGCAGCTGTATAATGATGATCCCTTGGCTTTGCTGGAAATAAACGCAAGGGCTGCAGCCACATGGTGGGAGGCCAGCCTGCCGTGTAGAAGGGCCTTGGTTTCAGCTGGCAGATTTGCACATTGGGAAGAGTATTAGTTTTATACTAATTATACAGAATAGTATTATTCAGACTGAGCATTCAGTCAGTTGAGCCACCCCAAGGCCAGGGTGACCATCTTTCCTACTTAGAGGATGGTTCTCTTCTTGAAGGACTGCCCAGCAGAAGTCCAGGTTTAAGAGGAAGAACCATACTAGAGGAGAGCAGTTGGTAAAGCTGCCCATTGACAGCACCTGGGGAACAGACTCGACAGGTAGGCACACAGCTCACCTGCTCATCTTCTTCCCCACCCTAGTAAGATGTCTTGTTTTTCTATTTAAATGACAGTAATGATTTCTAAATGCATGCAGATCAAAACATGCAATTTTTATGTTTATCTGGGTTCTTTGTGACTCCTCGTTTTTGGCTGAAAGGGAGGCTAGGCTGAGAGACAATGACTGGGCTAAAGTCTCTCAGTGAGCTTCACAGCCAAGCAGGAAGCTACGCCCTGGAGCTCCTGAGTCCCAGGCTAGCATAGCCACTATACCACACCCACCTCTAGTGGACCCTGAAGGACAGCATGCTGAGGAAGGCTGCCCGCATCTCAGAGTTCACACTGCAGGCTGAGAAGTTTCTCCTGTGGGAGGCCGCTTCTGGTTCCTGGTCACTGCTTTGGTTCTTCTTGCTCCCCTTCTGTTCCAACCGCTTACCAGCTTCTTGCTCCCTGGTCCTCTCCAAGAATAGAGGACACAGCTGAGCCTGAGCCTGGCTGAAACCTGGAGTATCTCAATGCACCTTGGCTGAGCTGCAGCAGCGCCATCCCCCTCTCCTTACCTTTCAGGTTTCGCAAGCATCCCAATCCTTGCTCAGTTGCAAGCTTCTCTGTGTGGCTTTCACCCCTGTGTGCTTTCACAGAGTCCAGGTTTTGCTTGCTGGGAGCATCCTCTTCTTTTGTCTTCAGACTTTTAGGCAGGAACAAGAAAGGGATGCCAGAAATCAGATTGATGACACCGGCTGCCAAAAAGCCTAGCCACCATGCACCAACCCAGCGGGCATCAGTTGGGGTTATAGTTATTGCACCTAGAGTAAGGGATGGATTAAACCAAACGCTGTTATTTATTTGTTCATACAGTAGCACAGGGGTGTTGAACCTCAGGTCTATGCACCAAGTCTGCCCCACATGGGGTCTCACTGCAGCCCCCCAGGATTCCCAGATGTCCACGTCCACTTCCCCAGACTCCGTTCCATCTCCCTCAACCACTGACTGTTGGGTTGCTTCCTGGCACAGGCATGCTTTCCATTCTAAAATGCTGAGGATGCTTTGGATCCAAAAAGGTCGAAATGCCTTTTGTAAGGCTTGGTCATGTTCTGTAAGAGCTTTCAGTTACAATTTGGTGTATTTGAGACCTTGTCCCCTTTTGCCATTGGCCGCATCCACAACCAGAATGAGGCTCTCTGCTCTGAATTCAGGCCTTGGTTGAATATTGAGGGAGGTTCACCACCCCGGTGCAGCGCCGTCAAAAAAGCACTCACTTTACAAGGCAACAAGTAAGTAACCTCATGGAAAATGCCATAAGCAGAGATGTATCAGCGCATGAGGACAGAGAGATGAGCAGGACCTGGCCATGGAGGGCTTTGGGGATAAACTTTGTGGTGGGGGATCCAGGAGTGGACAGGAAACCAGGTGGGGACTTCAGAGGATGACCTTTGCTGTCTGAGTGAAAGGAGAACCTGGACAGACTCAAGACAACTAAAGAAGAACAAAGAGAAGATTATAGCAAACAGAGCAGGAGGTGACTGGCCAAAGGGGCAGAAAGGAAAGGCTACTTGTTCAAAGGGCTGACTGTAGGCAGGGAAGCAATGTGACCTGGTACTGAGCTGAGTGTGGGCAGCAAAGGAGATGGAGGAGCAATGGAAAAGCCAAGGCCTCATACTTGGCCAACGAGGTGGGTGGTGTATAAATGGATTGGGAGAGCAAGGGCATCAGAGTATTTCAGTCATGTATGTATGTGTGTATGTATGTATGTATTTAATTTTTATACCACCCATAGGGCTCTCTGGGTGATTTACAGAAGGAAAAAAAAAGCATATAACAATAAAAACAGCAACTTGACAATGCTGGTGACCAAAAATTAATACATGTCATAAAAGCAGTTCACATAAAAGCAATATTAAAATAATTCTATCCATTAAAGCATCTGGAGAATCAAAAGGTCTTCACCTGGTACCAGAAGGAAAACATAGACGGCACTGGGTGCAACTCCTTGGGAAGCATGTTCCAGAGGTGGCTGCAACCACAAAAAGGCCCTTCTCCTGACTGTCATCACACTCCTACTTCTTAGGGGCTGGTTCTCAGAGAAGGATCTCTGTAGAAGATCTTAAGGGCTGGGCAGGAACATACGGGGAAAGGTGTTCCTTCAGATGCCGTGGCCCCAAGCCATTGAAGGCTTTGTACGTTAGTGTCAGCACTTAGAATTGGGCTGGGAATTCAATAGGTAGCCTGCTTAGCTGGAAGAGGATCGACTTCATATTTGCACAGGCCAAATATGGGGATTGCCCACATTTGATTTTAGTCATTTTCTGCCTGTATGTATGCCCAAAGGAGTTTATTTATTTATATTTTTATTTATTATTTGTATTTATTATGATATTTATTTATTCTATTTATTTCATGACTTACTTCAATGTGGCTTACATGACTTACTTCAACTCAACATGGCTTACACGATTCTCCTCCTGCTCTCAATCTTATCCCCACAACAACCCTGTGGGGTAGCCTGGGCTGAGAGCCTGTGACTGGCCCAAGGTCACCTAGTAAGCTCCAGAGCTGAGTGAGGATGAAAACTCAGATCACCTGAGTCCCAGTCCTCCACTCTTAAGAAGATATGCTGCAGAGCTGATGAACATATGGCCCTTCAGGTGTTGAGAAGATGGGCAATACCACCCCTGTTACACCTGCAGGGGCTTCAGGTTTTATATCCCTGTTTTAGACTCTTTGTGTCTAAGCTAAGGTTAAAAACACTGGAGGGGTCCAGAAGGGATTATCTCTGGCTGATAATGCCTGTCCCTGCTTTAGATGGACCAACTTCCCACACAAAGCTTATCTGGAAGGAATGTATCCGTAGGCCTTACAACAGAGGTGTTATACTTCAGGACAATGGGCCAAATCTGGCCCATGTGGGCTCCTTATCCAGCTTTCTGGGGTTTCCCAGAAAGCCACATCCTTTTCTCTGGGAACCCCACCCCCTTTCTCTAATGATCCATCATTTGGTGCTTTCCCAGCTTGTACAGTTTTCCTCCCATTCTAGAACCCTGAACTGCTTCTTGGAAGATTTAGTTATTGGCAGGAAGAGTGTAAGCTAATCTAAGCTGGAATTTGGGGTATTTTGGCTTCTTAAACCAAGAAGCTGGGCCATGCTGCAGACTACACATTACGATGTCCACGCTCATCTTGCACCACGTTCATACTTACTCAGATCCACAAAGCCAATGTCCACGTACAGTTTAGCTATCACAGACCCCAAGAGGTAGCCAGCCATCGGTCCAATCATTCCTATGGTGTGCAAGCAGCCTAGCACGATCAAGAACACTCAGTCAGCAGTTTCCAAGAGACATAACCAAATATATTCTGCACAGCTCTTCTTTGTCCCTGTCTAGGGCCTCCTCTGCCATTTCTGGTGTTGAATTTCACCTGTTAAGTTGGGCAGTGCATTTCCACGTGGGTGTATGAAGAGCTGCATTACATACACTCTTCCTTCCCATGGGATCAACCATAGTGTGAAGGTCAATTCACATCTCACAGTTCCTTGAGGTATACAGCTAAGATATTCTACGTAAACCGAGCCAATAGAGGGAACATACTTTTCATCAAAGGTTTTGCAAGAGGGCAGTAAGACCCAATCCTTCAAAAGGACCCTGGGAGTGGAGGCAAGGCAATTTGGCACAGGGTTCCTTGCCCATAGCAAATGTGGGGAAAATAGGAATAGATGCTTGTTCCCAGGGCAGCTGGACTGGCATTCCCTGTTTTGCCATGCTGTGAAAATACAACGGCATGGAAAAATTAATTGTAGTGGTGAGATGCCCCTCCCTTCCCCTGGCATCTCCCTTGACTGGAGGCCAAGAATGGGCTTCCTTTGTTTTCCGCCCCATTGTCCTCCATCCCAGATTGATTTCTGATTGCAGTGACAGTCACCATGTGATCTCTGATTAGGAGGGTTAACATATGAAGGCGGAGGAATAGTCATAAGGCTGCGATGGCACAACGCTTCAGATGGAGGCAAGAGATGTGAACACCTCTTGGAAGACTGCTCTCCACCAGTGGGCATTCCACGCAACCCAAGTTGTAAGAACCAACTTGAAAATGTAGCTTGTGAAGGACAACTGGGAGTACATTTAAATGCCCAGGCGTGTATCCTATAGACATGCACACAGAGGGTAGCATCCAATTCAGCGTTTCCACTGACATAAACTATGTTGTGCTAGTGTGAGTGATGTTGACCTCATGGCAGCAACAACAGCATCAGTGAGTTTTCTAGAAAACCTATTGCACCAGCAAATGCTATTGGCATTCATCTACAGCTCGCTTGTGCTAGCATAAAAAAGTTTTAATAAATAATAAATAATAAATAAATAATGCAATTTGCATTAGTGGAAGTGCTGCACTGGATACTGCCCATTAGTCAGCCTGTTACTCCTTGTCACATGTTGTTTTAAATGACTGCATCGTCTGGGGAAAACTGGAGAATCCTTAACAAACTAATGAATGGTGCTCGCTTCGGCAGCACATATACTAAAACAAACTAATGAATGATTTTCTCACTAACTAAACATTTGTAATTTTGGGGTGAACCTACTCAAAGAACCGCAATTTAGCCAAGGCTCTCACTGGAGAAAGAGGAGAGAAGCTTTGCTGATTCCCGCATCCCTCTGCAGCCCCTGTTTCAGCAGGTCCCATTACCTCGCAGAACAACTTTTTGGCGGCCACAAAAAGGGGAATCAATTAAAAATATCTCCCCACTTTCTTCAGTGGGAAAGTCGCATGGATTGAACGTCTCATGGCTTGGATCTAACCCACTGCTTTTGCCAGTTTTTATCCCACATATAATCCCAAGCTCACATTTTGAGGAAAGGAAATATTCTTCTTATGCATCAGCAGAAGCAGTTGTGGCCAAAAGATGGCAGATTCTTCAAAAGATGTAAATGGCAGCATGGAAAGACCGTGTGAGTCAAAAAATTAATGAATATATTTCAGATTTGGACACTCTGAAGGCGAAATGACACTGATGGCTAAAATCAGATTTTACATGAAAGATGTAGCTTAGCCGAGCACAAGTTACCAGTATAAAGTTTGTATGTGAAGGTAAGGAAGGAAGAATCCCAGCTATAGAATCTGCCTTTATCCATTAATTATCCTCAGGTGGCGGAGGACAGGAAGGCCTGGAGGAATGTTGTCCATGGAGTCACAATGGGTTGGACAAGACTTCGTGACTAACAACAACTTCTCAGTAGCCTAGACAAACTTTTCCATTTTAGACATTACCGATATATAAAGGAGAGTCCTCTTCTCTGGCAAAATCATCAAGGTAAGAAATGCCCAGCGGACCTATTGGTGTTTCTCCTATTCCACGTAGCACATTCCCCAACAAGACGTAAATCCACGCATAGGATATCTCTTCCTTTTTACAGCCTGCAGGTCACAGCAATTGCAGCAGCGGGGTGAGCAAAGAAACACAGGTGAGTGTATCCCACAACTTGTAGGGATTGGGCCCATCCCTCCCATAATGAGCCTTCAGAGGTTGCTAACTCAGACTCTGATTCAGAAGCAGAGAAGGACCTGGAATTCTCAACACCTTTGGCCAAGGCCAGACAACCCTGAGATGGCCAGGCAACCTCTGAGAATCAGACCATTTCAAGTCCTGTGGGGAAGTCTAGTTAGCTAGTTGAAATGGGAGGGGCAGGCCAAAGAAATCTGTTTTAGGGGTGAGATTCCCTTGGCTTGGGCCCCCAAGATTCCTCTGGGTCACTTTGCTGTGGTCCTCAGCCCAGGTTGCAGCCAACTGCACCCAGTGTCCACAGAATTGGGCTCCAAGCGCTGCACAAGACGCGTCCCTCTTCCACACCATGTTGCTGCACACCAGGCTGCCATACCCAATGTGGAAGAAGGTTGCTGGCTGCACACCTTTCATTCCATTTCATGGATGTCCTCTTGTCTCAGCTCACTTCCTAAGACTGGGCAGAGCATGAGAAGTCCACAAACGTGGAAGAGATGGATTCCATGGCATTTTGTCCCAGCCGTAGACCCAACATCATTATTTCAAACATCTAGCATTAGGTTAAGAGGATGGACCAACTGAGAAGCATCAGATGCTGCAAGAGATTGGACCAGAAGCAGCAAGAACCACCCTGAAGGTGGAGTCAACTCTTTTTGGTTTGGAAAGGAGGAGTGGCATTCTGTTTGGAGTCTATTTTGTATGAATCAGCCACATTTCCCTAATGGCCAGTATTCAAACTTCGCTTGTTTCTTTAGTGATTGACTTCTGCAATTCCCCTTTTCAGTCTCCTAAATCAGCTGAGCTGGTCAGCTTTAAGACTTTAGTTGGATAACCTTTGTCCTGAGCTGCTCGGAAGCAGGGGAAGAAGGCTAGCCATGACGCAGAAGATACCAAATGGAAGATATATTGATAATAGTAGGAAATGCGAATAGGAGTGGTGCAGTTCCCAAAACATATTTCAGGAGTGAGGAAGCCAATAGTTCCCTGCTGAGGGGTCATTCGACTCTTCAGATTATGGTCCAGGGACTGGAGGTATCTTGCTTCACAGAGTGAGCTCTATAACACAGTCAGCCCTGTGTTCAACTCTTCTGAGGCCTAGCATTTTGGGTAATCAAAGGAGTTCTTCATCAGAGCAGCATTCTTGCAGTGTATGGCAATTTCTGGGCAGGCTGCTCAGCTCACAGGAGGGTCTGAGTCAAGTCAAAGGCCTTTGTTACCTGGTACCCAGCCTCAGAGACCCTCCCCAATGGAGTGGCTTCTTCCCACCCATGAGTGAACTGATCCCCCAGTTAAGTGAGCTGAGTCAACTAGGAAAGAACATCTCTGTCAATATAAGTTTCTCCCCGTTTCTGATTTTTTCCTATTCTTAATTTTTTTGTTCCAAACTCTGCAAAACTCACCAGTCTCAAATCTAGCTTGTCATTAACATCAAATTTAAAAGAATAATCTTTGCATGGATATTTGTGTGCGGTTTTGTACAAAGCTCGCCTAATAAATGCAATTTTGTCCAATATTTTTTACAAGCAAGTTCTTAATACAATGTGCCACGAAGAATATTTTCTGAATATATGCATTTTTGTCTGCTGTTGTTCCTTGGTGAACACCACTGCAAATTTGGAGATGTGCAGATTTCAAAGGATACCTGAGTTTTGGTTGCACAGTGGTTTGCAAGTGCAAGAATAAGTAAGTTCACATTAAAGTGCAAGCTGAATGAATATCTTGACTATCATCAATTACTTGGTACTTGATAACAATGTTTGTGCTGATGCATATGATATAACAGACAGTTGTTGGTTGTGCAGCCTTCATTCTACAGGTATTTGTGGACTTTCTCTTAGCTTGGCTCTCTTTCCAAGACAGGGCCAAACATGAGAGCAAGTCTGGGAATACTAAAGAGATGGATTCCCTGGAGCTTTGATGCAAACTCATGTGCATTGGTCCCAGGATGAACTGCATCAGAAAGTGCACAGAAACACCTTTTGGAAGGCAGCCATGCCTTGGCTCAATAAAAGGCTCAGGAGTTATGGATTGAATAAGCCTATTAATATAGAAACAGAGAAAGTCAGAAGGGGCCTCCCGGGCCATCTAGTCTGACCCCCAGCTCCAGCGGGCTCCACTCACGACATGCCCACCATGTGCATGTCCAGCCTATCTTTGAACACCCTCACCGATGGGGCCTCAACCACCTCCCGTGGAAGCCCCATATGAGCAAGCAAGCAAGCAAACATTGAAGGAGTGCATTTCTCACCCATCCCCTGAGAAATCACAACCTTACCTGGCCCTGGAATCTCTTTTAATCCTGGAAGTGTTTGATTTAACGAGCAGGGAGAGAAACTGGATGTCAGGGTATCTGATGCACGTGATATTGTATCATATTTATAACTGAAAGGAAAGTTGAATTTTACAATAGTGGATGAAAGAATAGATAGGCATGCTTTGTCAGCAAAGAGGAAGAATGGCTTAATCAATCTGGGAGTGGCTCCTAACTGGAGAATCTTGAGAATAGTAGGTGAAGTCGTGCAGATGGAGGAGACCAATAAGACCATCAGGTCCAACGCCCTGCTAAGCTGCAGCACCGCACTGAACCACAGTGGGCAAACCCCGCTCACACCAGTTATTCTTAGCCACGGGGTGTAACTGAGTGCTTCCATCACAGAGATATAGAACAAGGGTGACATGCTGCATCAAATTGTTCAAGTTTCCCACAGCAAAAAAGTAAAATTTGGAAGATACAATGTCTGTTTGTTTCTTCTAGAAAAGCAAGTACAAGAATTTGCTGCCACAAGATGTAGGGAAGGCCACCCACTTGGATGAATAAAGGGGATGGAACAAATTCATGATGGAGGAGGCTATCCATGGCTGCCAGCCCGCATGGCTCTATGCTACCTTCAGTAGCATGGGCAATATGCCTGTGTCTACCAGCTGCTGGGGAACAGGCGTAGGTGGGTAGTGTTGCACTCCAGGGCAGCGGATTGGCCACTCTGTGGACGGCATGCTGGACTGGATGGGCCCAGCCTGGTTCCTATGTTCTCATAAGTTGCCTGGGGGCAGTGGGGGAGGGATGATCTGTCAGGGCCCATAATTGCAGACTTTTAATTATGTACTCCGGCCTTCCCCAATTATTGGAATGTTCTGGCTTGTAGCTGCAGTTGGGCTGCAAGTCTGTCCTTTGCTGGCATTTGTTTTTACAAATGTTTGTCTTATTATTTTTATGCAGGTTGGGAGGTGTCCTAGGAAGGAAGGAAGGAAGGAAGGAAGGAAGGAAGGAAGGAAGGAAGGAAGG